TTACTCAGACTTCATCAAGAAAATAATACCACCCTTTTTTAGCAAGTCTATCCAACATCTGATCCATGAAGGGCATAGGAAAATGGTCTTTTAAAGTAAATGCATTTAATTTACGATAATACATACACACCCTCCATCCATTAACTGGTCTGATTGGAACAAGTTCATTTTTCTCATTGGGGACCACAGTTATTCCTCCTTTCTTAGGTACACACTGAATAGGGCAAACCTAACTACTATCGGCGATCGGATATATTACTCCGGCATCCAACCATTAAATGAATTCCTTTTTTACGACCTCTTGCATAGATGGATTTAAGCATCTCTGGTGCTCAATACTTCGCTTATGATCGGGCATGAGTTGGATTTTATAAGAACAAATACAAGGAGGGATCACAATAATGTACGCAATAGTCCACCCAGTAGCTCTTTTTAACCTTTTTAGCACTTTCACCAAACTCTCAACTTGTTGTTCATTCAGGTCTGATGCAATAATTACTGGCAAAGTGTTAACATTTCCTAAAATTTATACCTGAGATGAGGTGGGAGATGTTTTAGTTCTAACTTTGGATCCTCCCCTATGGATGGTTTTGCGAGTGGAGACTTGTGAATCTTCATGTTTAACTCATATTTCTTTAGTTTAAACCGAACATCACCACGATCAAGAGCCGCTAATGCTTCTACACCGAGACGATTTTCCATTTGTGTCTCGGATGACTTACTAACTTTGTAGGATATAGCAGATACCGACTCATGGACCTACAAATGTTGAAGGTCACTTCTTCATTGTTCAACCGAAATTTCATCTGCCCCTTTTTCCATATCAACAAAGGCTCTACCCATAGCAAGGAATGGCCTCCCAAGAATGATAGGAACTTCAAAATCGACTTCACAATCAAGAATAAAAAAAATCTGCCGGAAATATGAAGGACTCCACTTTTACTAGCACATCGTGGAGTGTCCTTATAGGCCTTTTAATTGTTCGATCGACCATCAGTAGCCGTATCGCAATGGGCTTTGGATCACCCAAACACAATTTCTTCTGAATCGAGAGGGCATGAGATTTATGCTTGATCTGGAGATTTATGCTTGACTCCATATCATATAATGCTTTCGCAAAATGTAATGACCCGATTGTACAAGGAATAGTGAACGAACTCGGATCTTTTTTCATTTGTTCTAGAGATCTTGTAGTAATAGCACTACAATACTGCATTTTAACATCACCCTAAAAAGTGACTGATCTTTTATTTGTACCCAGATCTGTCACATACTTGGCATAACCGTTCATTTGTTCTAGATCTTCTACCAAAGGGACATTGATTCAAAGCTGCTTCAACATTGTTATAAAATGCCGATATTTACCATCCTTAGTATTTTTCTCTAATCTTTGAGGAAACAGGGGGGGACTAGGCATGGGAGTTACATTTTTAGGTACTTCAGCATCATTTCCAGTGTTATCTTCTACTTCACCACTAACCTCTACAAATTTGTCGTTATCTTTTATCACCTTTTCCTCATAAGACGGCATAGGCGGGTCAATTATTTGCTTACCACCGCGAGTAGTGATTGACATATAGTGTCCACCATTTTTCAGATTTTGGACAATGTTGCTAGGAACAAAGCCCGGTTGCCGTGTGCTCACAGTCGCAAATAATTTGGCCATTTGCAACTCAAGTTGCTTAATCGATATTGCATGTGTATCGACATTCTTCCCATTACACGCTAAATCACTCCTTAGTTCATTAATATGATCATCACTAGCATCGAAACTCCTCATTATTTTGTGCAACATATCCTCAATTACGCCATACTACCTCCACAATCCCTAGAAGCACATTCTCGATATTAATGAGAAACATAGAGACCATTCTTATCATTTATTTTACCATAGTTACCCCTGTTGAAGTTGTTGTTGTAATTTCAATCTCAGACATAATTACCCTCATGGTTATAGTGACCATAGTTCCAACCTTGGTTTCCATAACCTTTGCACCAATTCTCCTGATTTGAGCCTTAGGAATTCGGTAGGAAAACCTTCGTCTGCTCATTTACAACATAGGAATCATCCTCCTAATATTAATATTCACCATTTGGTGGTGGTGGTTTAAACAATTAGTTTACTACATTTATATTTTCTGCACCCCAGTGACATGTTTTAATACCAACCCAAGCTCAGTTCTCATCTAAGCCATCTCTTCAAGAATTTCATCTGTGCCTAGGTTGTGTGTGGATTGCACTACAAAGCTATTCTTCTAGTATTTGACTTCCTAGTGCACCAAGCTTTATTAATCCAAGAGATTTTCTTTAACTTTTCAGCAATCTCGGCATAAGGACACTCCCCATCAGAACCACCCACTATAGTATCTAATACCGCTTTATTATTATCATCCTGTCCCCGATAGAAGTATTCCTTTAGTGACTCATTATATTTGTGGTGATTGGGGATGCTTCTAACGAATGAAGTGAATCTCTCCCAAGAATTTCTAATTCACTCTCGTTGTAGTGCCACAAAGTAGTACTCTGTCTTTGTGATTTAGTTTCTTTGAAATCGGGTCATAACGTGCTAAGAAAATGTGCCTTTGTTGGTTCCAAGTGAAAATTGAGTTATTAGGGAGCTCAGTGAAGCAAATAGCAACCTCTCACGTCAGTGTGAAAGGAAATACTTTTAGTCCTATTACATCCAAATCCAAATCTGGCCTCCCTACACATCTTTTACACACTTCCCTTACCTTAGCTATATGGGCATGTAAGTCCTCAGAAGGTAGCACTGAAAACAAACCTTTAGCATTGATTTTCATAAGACTACTAGTTAACACAAAGATGTGACCTTGTGGTAGAGGGGGCAAGACAAGTGGGTCATTAGAGTCTGCAATGTTATCATAACCTCTGTAGTATTCTTGAGGGCGTGGAGCAGGATTTTGTCCCCTTTGTTTATTTTCACCAAGATCATCGGGTAATAAGTGACAATGAACATCAACATGAGTTGGGATGTTCTGGTTTGGATCATCATTGTTAATACCCAAGTTTTGATTCATATTTTGTAGTGTACGCTCTAATTCGCGGTCGTAGGGAAACAAGGGTTCTCTTCCTCTCCATGTTTTTGGCATACAAGAAAGTTAGTTCTGTAAGAATAAAAAACAATAGAAAAGGAAAATTAAGAAAATATTGACTAAACTTTTGTAATATGTTTAAGTTAATCTTAAAACTATTTTGCCCAGCAGCGGCACCAAAATTTGATACGCTCAAACTTACTTCTCAAGTAAAAACTAGAGTGGTTTTGATCAAGTAAAGAACCCAACTAATGAGGTTGGGGTCGATCCCACGAGGAAATAGTTCACACTTAACTTTATTCTATTATTACTATTATTAAGTCAACTATTTCCGAAGAAGACAAAAGAAAAAAGAGGGGGGTTTATTTCTAAATTAATGAAACTAATTAACTAAATTAAAATAGACAACTAACATATTGAAATCTTGGAACTTAATCAATTAATCAAAGTAACTAGGGCTTAAGTGTTCCCCATAGGTTCCTAAGTCGATAATTATAACTATAACAATTCCTTCCTAGTATCTTGCATGTAAAGTGATAAGTTCTGTATCTCTAAAACCTTGGTCCAGCATCCAGAAAATTTCACTCCGCATCTTGGTCCGGCTACGTGCGGTTCTATACTAACCCTTACCTTTATATCATATTAATCATTTTATTCGATATTTGACTAAGTTATTACCTCGTACCAATCTACACTAGCCTATTAGATAGTGTACACTAAATCTATGTTGATAATGCCTTTCCTATTATCTACCTCCTTAGTCTGGCAAGTAATATTCAAGCGATTTCTAACGTTGGTATTCTGTTAACAGACTTTCCAATGAAAGAATTATCAATACATGCTAAACACTATTCTAGAATTGCTATTTTAGTTTGATTTTAATTCATTAATCACCTATGGTTCCCACAACCCTAGTTATGGAGTTTAGTTACCAATGGTTATAATCACACTATTCATACATTTATTATAAAAATTCATGCACTTCCTTTAATGAGAAAGAATAAAAACCTGAAATTCACTTGATTAATCAACAAAAGCACCAACAATCATTTCCATAAAAAGTAGAATAATTTCTGGAATTAATCTTTAGTTACTTGAACAAAATAACTAAAGATTATCCAAAAGTCTAACCCCAAAAATGAGGTTTTTCGAACTATTACTAATAAAAACAAAAACCTAATAAATAATGGATTCTAATTACTGAAAATCAGTCAAACGCGTCTGAGTCTACGGACCTTGTGATGGACCGTCACGGTCACGATGGGCTGTCGTTGCCTCCGTCATCCCAAACTTCACAAATTCTTTTGCTACTTTCATCATTACCGTCATTGAAAGGTATGAAGGACCGTTCTAAGCACGACGGTCCGTCGAGGGTCTCCGTTCCATAATAATTTAACTTGTTGGAATTTAGGTACTAGGAATAGTCTCTGATCTTCACGACGAACAATCATGACGGACCTTGAAGGCTATAATGGTCCGTCATGGACTTCCGTAATCCGACACTAGGTCAGACTACCCAATCTTCCTTCATTATCTTCTCTCCTCACTACGATGTCACCTATGGACCATCATAGGCTCGATGGACCGCCATAAGTTCCATAGGTGGTCTCTTCTGCATTTCTTGCTCAAAAACTTCTGCGTTACTCTTTGGACAGATTTCTTGCAAATAAGGAGAAACTTACATAAAAATTAATACAAAAATCATTTTGGACACACACTAAACTTAAGGAAAAAGCATTAAAAGCACCATGCAACCACGGTATATCAAAGACCAAGGTTGAGGTGTTCAACAACCTTTAACATGGATCCATGACAGTCAGGGATTATTTCCTAAAGTTTATTCAGCTATCCAGGTATTCTACTTCCCTTGTATCTAACTGGACGGATGAGATGAGCTAGATTCTCACAAGAATTAACCGAGATCTAGAGAAGGAGTGTCGATCTGCGATGCCCCATGATAACGTGGACCTCTCAATGATGAAGGTACATGTCAAACAAGTAGACGACATACGGAAGAAGTGCGGCGTACCTGATCCTGGTAGGCCTAAGCCTCAAGATCATGAAGATTCTAGTAATGGAGGCAACAGAAACAACTTTGGTGCCCGTGAACAGCCCAGATTCAAAAAGGGGCAATCGAGTTTAGGGAACTCTAACTCTTAGATGAGTACAAAACCTACAGGAGACAGACCCAAACTTAGGAAGGGAAATGGAGGTGAGATGCAGCTTCCCAGAATGGACTGTGCTATGCGTGGTCGTGCTCACAACGGAGAGTGCAGATCGAGAACTAATGCCTTCTTGGGTTGTTGTATGAGCGGGCTAATGGTCAAGGACTGCCCACAGAGAAGAGGTCTGGCTAGAGGTAATGCTCATAATAGGCCTAATCAACAGTATGAAACAACAGTCGAGCCTCCTAAGAGGAACAAGTTCTACGGCTTGAAGGCCAGGGAGGAGCAGGAGAAGTCCGCTGATGTGGTAACAAGTATGCTTCAGGTATTCTTAATTTCTGTTTATGCTTTTTTTGATCCAGGGTATACGTTTTCCTTTGTAACTAGGGTTCCCATAACCCTAGTTATGGAATTTAGTTACTCATAGTCATAATCACAATATTCAAATATATTAAATAAGAATTCATGTACTTACTTCAATCAGAAAAAGTAAAATCCGAAAGTTTGCTTGATTAATCACCAATAATCACTTGCAAGAATCTAAAAGTAATCAATAATCTCACTAAAAATTATAATGATAACCTAGAATCTAACACTAAAACACATAGACTATTAACGATCCAGAGTCTAACAATGATCCAGAATCTAACCTAAAATAAAAACCTTATTGTACAAGGACTCTATTTGCTAGATATCTGTCAAAAACCTAAACCTACGGATCGTCGTGGTCAGACTTCCCCATCTTCCTTCAGCAGCTGCACTACGCTGCCACCTACAGACTGTCACAAGTACGACGGACCGTCATAAGCTCCATAGGTGGTATCTTCTGCATTTCTTCGCTCAAAATCTCCGCATTCATCTTTGGACAAATTTCCTGCAAAATAAAGAGAAACTTATATGAAAATTAGAACAAAAAGGCTTTTGGACACACTAAACCTAAGCAAAAAGTATTAATAATACCCTGAAACAAAGGTATATCATCACAATGAAAGATAAAAAACAAATAACGAAATCAATTGCGTAGGCAAATAGAAGGTTGTCCGTTGACTTTAATGTTAAAATTTCGGTGTTGGACGTGTGTTTGGATGAGTTCTTTGGGCAGAAAGTCGAGCTCTAAATGTAACAAAAGTATGAGTTCTCTTCTCTCTTTGTCCATTACCTAAGAAACCTCTTAAGGTTAAGTATATTTAGTCCAAAAACTACGGTTGTTCCCTGTGTCATGTCCCTGCCACTAGCTCCCATTGAATCATAGGTTTGTTATGTTTGCTGGTAAAAAACTAGGGATAAAACATGTTCTTGTGATGCATATGTGTTTATATGTATGTTTGGGTGTATTGCCGTGACTATTGGTCACACTTTAAGAATAGAAATAGCATGTTAGTTCTTTGTATTTCATGTACACGTGTTTATGTAAATCATGATGTTTATATGAGATGAAATGTTGCTGATTTGAGCGATAATATCTTGGCTACACGAATCCATGAAAACACACATAAAACGTTCTAAATGCACTATGAAATTACCCTATGAACTAACGTGTAATGTAATTGAAGAGAAGCTGAAAATGTAACTCAAATTTTCAGATCCTTGTTGATTAATTTAAGCCAAGTTAAGTTGTTTAATGTGTCAAGGAAAACTGAAGAAAAACAAGTGAGGTCACTGAGGGTTGAATCCGTGACTTCACCACGTTAAAAGTTGTAAAGATAAAGAACTGAAAAACAACGTGGTAAGGGGGAATCAAACCTTGCTCCTTGCTGGAAAATAAAGTATCAAAATAAGAAATGAGAGGAGTGAAATTCGAACCCACAACCTATCGGTAAATCTTAATGAAAAATGAAAATAAAACAAGTGTGAGGCCTGGGAATCTAACCCACGGCCTCTAGGTGGAAAAGCAAAATTAAAAGAAAAATAAATTGAGGCTATGGGGGTTTGATCCTACAACCTCACGGGCAACTCAGAAAAGTAACGATCAAACGAAAATAAAATAATGAGGCTGTGGGGGATCGATCCCACAACCTCTTGGTCCCCAAACGGATAAAAGAGAAAGAGAAAATAAAGAAGAAAAAGAGATGACAATGTTGGGGCTCGATCTCGGGTCCAATGTTGTGTGACCGAAAACATATGAAAAGAAAAATGTATGTGTTGTTTAAGGGAATCAAAACTCGGTTCCCTAGACCAAATATCCGTGATGATACATAAATCATACGTTAATAAATGTTCAACATAATGCTGCCTACATAGATCGGAATCGAGATCTTTACATACATACATAGATGCATAAGTCTTGTACCACATTATCTTAGAAAGATATGAATTACTTAAACACACAATGAATGAAGCCTCGTTGCTTGTATCTATAGACCCATAAGTCGATAATACATTATAAATAAGTGAACCGAAGATGTATGTCATGAAAGGATGATATGAACAATTAAATGATGAAACCCTTGAAGGGTTAAGTAAGATGTGAAACACACTAAATGTCCAATTGCATTGGAATATGATGAAATGAAAATTCACGTAAAAAGGGGTGAGTAATTATGAAGAGCAAATGCGCTAATGTTACTGATTGTGGTGACAACCTAATATGAGGCTAATGTAAAATATGAAAGCAATCTCAAATGTTCCTTAGTAAATGTTACCACAATGTACTCACCTATGAGAGTATAAAGATAATGAAGAGACCAGTCTCTATGAACACTCTAATGAATGTATTGAGATTAACACACTCAATACTAATGATGATATGAGAAATCATCAATTGAGCTATGATTTAGTCATACTAGAACCCATCTTTCGTGACGTATGAGTTGAATGTAATGGAACATTATATTAAGAACTCATAGACTAGATATGAGCAATGATGTCTTATTTCGGGAAGGGTGGAGATTCACGTAACTTTCATGAGATAAGACTGTTCAGCATGCCGAGTATTGGTCTCCTTATATCTCATATTCTTCGAACCTATACTTCCAATATTGGGATCTAGAGGGGTTCAATTCCCATGTACACTAGCATCTTTTGGATCACTTTGGCTGGTGATTCCACCTCTTTTCGGTGTGGGGGAGACATTGGATTTTTTGATGCTCACATGATCAATATCGGTTAAAGTTAAAGTTCCCAATTAATGAATAAGGACAGCCTCAAATGATGAATATAATAAAATGAATGATACCAAAGGTATTAGGTTAGGATATTTAAGAGGTGGACTAGACCTATTAATGACACTAGGTCATTCTTAATCATTGCACAACGAACCCGATGAAAGTCTTAAACTACATCCTAGGCATAGCTTGTGTTTAAACTAGCCTATGAACAAAATGAAATGAAGTACATATGAATGAATGAAGCAAACTCTGTGTTTGCTAAAGTATGCTCCCTGGTTGTGGTCCCATGTGTTGAGCCCTCATTTATGGGATGTTTGAATGATAAGTCTATGATTCCAAGGTCTCATGGCATATAAATGAATAATATGAAAGATTTTATGTGTTATAGGAAATATGTTATGTGCTACATGCAAAATGTTATGTGTTAGTGGTGCAATATGATACGTATGACAATGCATGTTACTCTCATGGAATGACTATGCTAATCCAGATTTGGAAGCTTAGTAACTTTCCTAATCCAAATTCAGTAAGTCCACTGACTTGTCTTTCCCAATAAATGTTGTTAGGAAAGAGATGTTCTTACTCATGCATGTCCTTGATGTGTGCTTGCATATACCATTACTTACTGCAGGCACAGGTAGGTTGACTTGAACCTATCCGAACGTGGAGCTTTAAGCCGTTATTGGTAGGCTCTCATGCTTTCGAGGATGTCTATTGTCATTATCTAGATTATATGTAGGCTATAGCTGGTGGAGCATGTTCCGTTGATGTTTCTTTCAACTTTTGTTAAGACTTTGTATAGGTGTCGTTTTGGCAAAAATATGTTTAATAAAATTATGAACATATTTTTTCATTGGATTATCTCTTTATTAGATGGTTTATTTGTGAATACCTATGTTGTTAATTAGTGTATATAAATGTATGTTAAGACACAAAAATTTTCATATCTTTCGCTAAAATTAACCTAGATGAAGTCAGAAAGACGTATGTAGGCTTGTCTGCGACCTCTGAGAGGTCAACGATGCCGTTTTCATCTAGGGTCTAGATTTCTGTAGACTTTTGTTATTCTTAAAATGGGAATCCAAATGCTTGATTGGTAGACTTTTTTACTTCTTGCCAGTGATATCATGAATCCTTTGCTTAGATTGAGAGTGTTCTTTCCTATAAGGTGATATGCTAGATTTCTTCTTGTTAACCTCCTGTTATGAAAAATTTTAGTATTTCCCGGAACTTTCTTCATCAACTCCAGAGATGTCATGCCTCCACTAGATAATAAGATAATGTCATCCAAAAATTTCTAAATGATTAATGATTGGGCCCCTTTTTCATGCTAAATCCAATGAATTAAGGGTTATGATTAACTTTGTTAAGTTTAAAAGAGAGAAATTCAACACTAATAACAAAAAAGAAGGAGAGAGAGAGTCTCCTTGTCAGAGACCCCTCTTGGATTAACAAAAATCATATCAACTTCCATTAACTAATAGGGAATACAAGTTACTAGATATACGTCTAAAAATTAAGTCAATCCATAATTCACAAAACCCTATTCTACACATAAGAATTTACATATAAGGCCAAGAGACTCTATCATAATCTTTATCTATCTCTAATTTAAGAACAACATTACCTTCCACATTAGCAGAACCTATTTCTTGAATAATTTATTGGGAAAGAAAAATGATCTCTGTAATATATATATATATATATATATATATATATATATATATTGTTGATGATACCACTTTTTGTTATTACTAATCAAAAGTGGAAGGACCTTACTATGTCCGGAGTTCAGAACTTAAGATAAAATTTTACAGATTACATTACAAAGGAGTGCTCATATTAGAAAATTGTTCAGGGGTGATTGCTCTTGGGAATCATAGTGATATTAGTATGAGTGAACCGCTTAGAAGAGAAACTCATTAAAAGATAGAAAGCAAATCTATAGTAACCTAAGAGACTACCACTCCCCACCAAGTATGAAAAAAATTATTTGTGAATTCTTTTGGCCCAGGGACACTGTCAAGATCCATGGTCATCAAGTTACTTTTGATATCTTTCTCCATCGAAACTGTTGTAAATGCATGGTTGATATCATCTGTGATAATAATGTTGATACCCTCAAAATCCTTGAAGTATTTAAAGCTAGGTACTTAAGAAGATATTCCTTTGAAGTACTTAACTACAGCTTCAGACACATTACCATTACCTTGCACTCATTGTTTATACTCGTCCAATAACTTATTTATCCTAGTCCTTCTTCATCAATATTGGAT